TGAACAGTACTATCGGTTGCACCGGTATGAATTTCAAATGCGGCAGAACCGTGGAACCTCGATTATTCAAACTGAGCGTACACGAATCTGTTCATGTTAATAGAACAGTCGGCGATTACAGTGCCAGATTTCATCTTTATTAACCACTTGAGTGGAAATAAGCAGTCTCGCCTGTTTTCTCACGCGAGTCTCAAACGTTTCCTGTGCCAAACTCGAATTTGACAGGCGACGCCCGCCCCATATTTCAATGTCTGAGAACAATATAAATTCCTGCTAGCTGTTAACAAAATTATATATATATATATAATTTTATAATTATAATTTTATATATTATATATATATAAATATCGTAATAATTTTTGTTAACAGCTAGCAGAAATTTATATTGTTCTCAGACATTGAAATATATATATTCTTTGGCAACTTTTTCTATCTAAATTCGTGTTATTACAGTTGAACAAGTACAGTAATGTCTCTCTAATTGACGCTCAGATTGTGCACAAAAATGAAGAATTTGGGAAGAGGAGATACGATTATTCGATCCTCGCGGCTCGTTTTTATAGTTACGAATTGTCATCAATTATAAAAACGAGTCGCAACGAGCTCGAATAATCGTATCTCCTCTCCCCAAATTGTCCATTTTTCGTAATATCGAAAAGGAATTATTTACTTTTTGCATCGTGTTCGTCTCTCGATACCAATCAAATTGCATATTTATTAGAAGATATCTATTTCGAAACGTTTAGCATATTATTGTGTATATTAAATGAAAACAGAAATATTTTAGTATTATTTTGCGATAACTCCTCCGATGTATCGCAAGGTAAGGGGTTAATTTCCACAGCGAATCGCTTCGCATACGGATCGGCTTAGATCGAGTCGATCGCATGTGAAAAATATTTGCACAATAGGTAATTCCGGTGTTGCAAGACCCGTATAATCGAGGGGCTCCACCGTATTACATTTTCCTCTCGTGCATCCGAGAAGCATAAAATCCTGGTCCCCGTTTCGTCCAACCGTGCACCGGCGCTGACGTCGCTACCAAGACCGCCAACAAAGTCCAGGGAGCATCCGACCACTGGCAAACTTTCCTATGACATCTTGTCGGGCTCGGTTAAAGCCAGTCGCTTCCGCCGAATTGCGTCGGCCTTTGTAACGCTCGCGCACAAGCGCCCGCAGTCCATCGTCGCGTCCATTGTCTTATCGTCATCGGGCGCGATAACGCCGCAAGGGAATTACCCGCGCGGCGTGTCGGATAGCCGATTAATCGAGCGGAGTCCTCGGGCAATGTCGCCTGGTTTCTCGTATTTATAGGAACGCGTCATTATCTAAAATCGGAAGGCTGCCGCGAGCCTTCGATATCACCGCGGCGTTATTTCGCCGGTTTTAAAGCGGTGATTTCATCGTGTTCCGCGGGCATTCCGGGCATCGAATCGTTGGATCGCGGTATTCGCGCCGGTTACTGTAGCCGAGGTTGCATTAAATCCGGATTGAGAGAGTTCGGGCCGCGAAAAAGAGCCGAGCTCCCCGCGCAGCGGCTGCACGGAGAGACCGGCGAAAAATAAAGAGAAAAACACGTCGTTCGATTTCCAAGTTAAATCGCCGTCGAGACGACGCGCATACGAGCCGGACACCGACACGCGCGTTCGCGCAGCATGTGGAAGGTGCTCAAATAAATCCGTACGAATCGATCTACGGTGTCAATGGCCGATACAACGACGGCTCGAGCGGCCAAGAAACCGCGCGTCCTATAGCGAGGCTCGAAGAAATTGCCCGGTTGCTGGGAGCGCCGCGCCGTCCGAGCGACCCTCGCTGTTTCATCTACAGGTTGATTCAACTGTTAGGGGTCTGGATTCTTTGGGATCCGGTCGTGTGCGAAGCGTGATCGAGGCGAAGCCTGTCCGGCGCTATCAGTTTCCCGGTAATGGAGTCCGATAAAGCAACCCTTCGCGGACTCACTCATTTATTTCAGAACTCGCCACGTCGTTATTACCGCGTGTAAAGACTGGTTCGGACACGTCCGGTAATTTAGTCGAGTAGAGCTACTTGCTGTACTTGCCACGAACGGTGGGAACACTTTTATTTGGGACGAGATAAATAAACTAAACAACGTGTCCGATTCTAGTTTGAAACGTTCGAACCATATCGGTTCTTTTGCTGGAAGAATACAGTAATGTCTCCCTAATTGACGCTCAGATTGTCCACAAAAATGGACAATTTGGGAAGTGGAGCCTTGCGACTCGTTTTTATAGTTAGCGATTTTCAATAATCATATAAACGAGCTGCGAGGCTCGAATAATCGTATCCCCTCTTCCCAAATTGTCCATTTTTGTGGACAATCCGAGCGTCAATTAGGGAGACATTACCGTATATAGCGTCAATGAGTTTATTCTACGACTGCTACATTTGTTAAATTTATTATTCTTGTAAATAAAAATGTAAAAATGTAAATAAAAAGTGGGCTGCAGACTACAAAAGAACAACCGAAACAATGGATCGTCGCATTCATTGTTCGCGCGCGAGCGATTTGTTCTGCGACGGATATTGCAGCAGAAATAAATTGAAACAATGATATACGAATGAATGTTGGGACAGTTAGAAGACAGCTGCGACATTTTCAATTAGCAGCACAAAGAAGGCCACGTATGAAAGCAACGACCGATTAGCAAAAATCGAATAATAAGACTCGCATCGAGAGAAAATAATACAGTAATGTCTCTCTAATTGACGCTCATATTGCCCACAGAAATAGACAATTTGGGAAGAGGAGATACGATTATTCGAGCCTCGCGACTCGTTTTTATAGTTGCCGATTTTCAACAATTATAAAAATGAGCCGCAAGGCTCGAATAATCGTATCTCCTCTTCCCAAAATGGTCCACTTTTGTGCACAATCTGAGCGTCAGTTAGGGAGACATTAACTGTATCGCCGAACGAACCGTAGTTCGATCGCATCTCTTCCGATGGATTGCAATAAGCGAAACGTCGCGTTACAGAAGATTTAAACGAGTAAATTTTTACCGATTTCTTTCTTTCTCTTCGTCTTTCTGTATCGGATAAAAGACCATGGGACTCGATTTTTCTCGACTGTATCACGCTAAACTGTATCACGCTTCTCCTCTGTTTCTGCTCGAAACATCGGCCCCACCCTGTATGTAACCGCGCAAAGAGACACCTGTTATTTCCATCGCTCCAGAATGTTGGGTATACATTAATCGTCGCTAGTTCCGATGCTAATAAAAGATACGATATCATTAATTTATTCTGCTCGAAGCGAGCCGTAGCTTCTGCTGAAGCGGGCCGACCCAGTTTCTGGAATCGCCCTGTACGCAACCGTGTTTCCAGTCTATTCTCGATCGCTCGCAAGTGTTTATGACCGACCGTGCCGCCGCCAGTCCCGCGAATGTCACTCGTTGCTCTCGTTCGTTCCTCGGCATCCGAACGAACAACTCGAATGCGTGTTAACCGTCGCCTCCGCCGACAATAGAAGCGACGAATATGAATGCGACCAGGCTCGTGCCGCGATTCCTTGAAAAACTATGCTCCCCCGTGATACGTACGGGCCGATAACAATCGAGATCGGTAGCGCACCATTGTTCAAATATATGCGGCTTGCTTGCTCTGTCACGGTGACGATCTCGATTTTATTACGCGCATTCCCCGCGCGTAATAACGTGGCGTAATAGGCGATAATGAAGTTACACTCGCGGGACAATTACCCGCTCGGTGATTTCCTACACCGGTATCCTCGAGCGTGCATTCGATCCACAGATCGATTACTAGCACGTGGCCGAACACGCCAGCCACGTTAGCGCACACAGCGCCGGCCATAAATACGCGTAAGGACTTCGGTTAATTCGTTCCTTGTTCGTTTCTGTTCCGTAGAGCGCGGCTATGAAAATTACGTTCAACCTATTGTCGTCCGAATTATCCGACTGGACTCCGCGACGAAAGCGCAACCGCGTGGGCATGCAACCTTTGCAGCAACATATTGTATTCGTTTTTCGCGACTATAGGGTTTACACGTTGCAATAAGCTCGCTGCAAAATAAGGTTTCTGTCCGCGGTTGTTACGCATGTGGCGTCAGCTGTTCGTGGATTAAATTAATACAATTTGAACTATTCGTTTCTCCAGTTATGAACTTCGTTTCGACGTACCGTTGATATCGAGCTTTACCTCGAGCCACTGTACGAAAAAGGAGAAATTATCCTGAACACGTGTCGACTGTTGGAAACTGGAACGTAATGTGTAATACGAAAACTGTTGCTATTCGAGCATATTTATGAAAAACAAAATTTCAAAGCGTGCTGTTTTTGTCACTGAATCTAGAAACGATCTAAACCAGGGGTATCAAACTCGCGGCCCGAGATGAACATTTTTGATGTCAATTATCAGGTCGTAAACAATAATTTAACTTTATACATGTTTATTACAATGTACTGGTCAAAATAAAAATATTTGTTTCTATGAACATTGACTTTTTTTTCGGCCCACCTAAAGTTAAGCATTGTTTATTTATTATTACGGTCCAAGTTAGCTTTTGAGTTTGACACCCCTGATCTAAACGCTTCGATATTTAAGCCCTAAATGTCTATTCTGACTTATGGAGCCCTAAAGGGTGATCAATCTCCGTTCGCGGCCTAGTTTAAAAATTCCTTTAATTTCGAATCAAAAATTCGTCCGTTATCCTCGCATTTTATTTTCGAAGCATCACGTTGTTGTCGCGGACAGCCGAACCGACATTTGTAAAATCGGCTTAGACGTTTACGTCTCAAAAAAAAACCGCCGACGTTAATGAATTCGTGTCGCGCGTGACCGCTCGATTACACGGAATTATTCCCGACCGATAATTACCGGCGCGTGCATCGGATATTACGGAAAACCTTTTATATTCATGCACGGGGAGTACGAATAAGTACCGTACGAAAAGAATAACAACGAATGTTGTTGAATTAATCATAAGTGAAGCGTAGAGATCGTAAGCAATCGTGAGTACTCACCTCTCGTATTTCACCTGCATCGAATGAGCGGAGTTGTCCTCCCAATAATTCTGTGTCTCCATCATCTTGACGCATAGAATCACTTCCAACACGCGGCACGATCACTTCCGATTTTCTGTCGTTTGGGTATCTTCTCTGAGGACCCGTCGGATCTTCCGTCGACACGACTAAGTTTTCGGCACTACAATTGTTCTTCGAACTCACGCCCGTCGGAACTGGATCGCCTTGCGATGTACGCGAGCGGGAAGATTACGAACGTGTATCACTGTTCTGTGGATCACGCGTGCATAGTACAGAGAGTAAGAGAGAGTCGGATCCTCTTTAAAACCGATTACTCCTTGATCGATAGTACGCACTCGACGAATGGATTAGGTTCGCCTCCGCATACTCACTGACACACGCCTAACGACCCGACGGTCCAAGAGGCCGGTACTTGGGAATCGCCCACGTCTTTCCGTCCAGTCACACTCGCCGATATATATCTGGTACTGGCGCCCTCTTCTTTTCTTCTTTCTCTTCCTTCCTGTTTCCCGTCGCGATTACTTTCTTTTTCTTTTATTTCACCGTAGCTTATCGTTCTGCAAACTATCCAGTAATTTGTAATCCGATTCCACGGCTGATTGACTCCGATGAAAATGGAAACGCGCGCGCGCGCGCGATATCGAAGGAGAAAAAAGAAGTACAGTTCGATCCCGATACCTAAAACGCTCCGCGATAAGGCCGTTGACTCGCCGACCGTGAAATTCCACGATATACTAACCGGCAGGGGCGTAAAAATTGAACGTGCCGCCGCGCATTCACTCGCGCATCATCGTGTGCCCGTTACTCGCGTTGCCCACGGCAGAGTGCGTCAACGTACTTTGAAAATTTCACGCGGTAAAATTCAGCGGCGCTCAAATTCAGCGTGATCAGCCGCGATCAGCGATCGCGCATCGGCCGCAGGAAAGCTCGATCGATCGCAAGCGCGTCCCCCTGTCTCCTCCCTCTCCGTCTTTCCCGTTTATTTCGATCGACGGTTCTCTATGGATTCGCGGGATGGATTGTGCCGTACGGTAAAAATAAAATGGATGCGATTCGAAAACACGGTTCGTGTCGCGACGTGTTTAAGAGTCCGTCGTTCCCTTGGCAGGTTACACTACGCGTATAATACGCGGTCTTGTTCAATTCTCGCGATGGGCCGCGGTGTGGCATGCGGTCCGCTGGTGGGAGCAATCCGCAGGCGTCTCAGGTGCGGAGCAATCGATCCTGGAGCCACCGAACCCGAAGGCCCTGCCCCGACGGTTATCTCGCTTCGTCGCCCGTCGATATCGTCGTTGCGGCACCATCGTCGAAGTTCAGACTTTCGTCTCCGCCGAAACAACCGACCGCGACCGAAGTCGCCATGTTGTTTCGACCGATCGACGGAATTTTTAAACGACGCTCTGCCACCACGGTGTAAGTTGAACAGAGCGCGATAAGACGCCCACCGTTCCCGGGGGAAATTATATTATTATCGTCTGAAATATTATTATCGGTATGATAATATTATTATCTGAAATATTATTATCTGTATGATAATATTATTATCTGAAATATTATTTCGGATAATATTACGCGCAGATAGCGATCTCGAAACAAACGGGAAACGAAAACAATAACAAAGAACATCCGTTTTTTATCGGGTTATATTAATCGACGTTGGTGTTTCGCTTCGCGATCGACCAGGGACGCGTGTTCGCGCGCACCCCCGACAGAAAATGAATTTTATCGTCGGTACGGGAACGCTGCGATTAAAAAGTAACGCGCCGATGAAAATTCTATAATCGGCGACGATGCGCGATTAAGCGTCGGGCCGGCGACGCAGTATATACATGTAATAGATTACATAAAAACACAGTGTCGCACGATTCATTCATGTAAACAGACGCGCCGCTTACGATCTAAATACGCGTACACGGTATATAGTATATATCGTTTCAGAATGTCAGGAATCCAAAGACGAACGGTTACGGCGGTCGGTTACGGCGAAGACAACGCCGCCGGATACGAGAGCCCCGATTTTCGCAGTTATCGAGCGCGATGTCTCGGTTGCATTTACACGGTGTGCCGACGGGTACGAGCCGACCACGCTTTCACCCTTGCATTTCTCCGGTGCCCGGTACGATCCGACGACGGCGACGGTGTGCTCAGGTGAAACCAGCGACGATTTTTTTTCCTTCCTCGACTAGGAGGATCGCCGCCGCCGTCGCTGCGGCCGGGTCACGTAACGATTCCGTATGGTGATGCAAATCCGGTGGCCGCGACGAAACCGTCGGCCCGACGGCGAGACGCGACCGGAGGGGCCGGGAGGATAGAAAAATGGTGACTTTCCAGGTGAAAGTCTGGGACGAGGGGGGTGATGCGGGGTCTTGAGACGTTACTGACCAGAACGCGGAGTGGTGAACGCTTGGAGGGGCACGGAAGGTGAGGAACGTTCGTTCGTTGGATACGCAAGCTCCGGGAGGAGTGGAACAGGCAGCTACCACGCTATGTGACACGTGCGCGTGACGTCACGGGGCCGGTCACGCGAGCACCGTGTGCTCCCGGTCACGTGTCCTGTCACGCGCTCGGCTCCGACTTTCCTCTCTCCTCTCCGCTCCGCTCTTCTCCTCTCCTCTCTTCGCCAATCTTCTCTTCTACTCTCCGCTTCTCCGCCCCGCGCAGCACCAAACCGCTCGGCCCCGCGTCGCGCCGACTGCGCCCCTGCCATCGGAGACTACCGACCGTCTCTGTCTGCCTTTTATTTTCCTCCGTTTTGTCTCGACCATTCTCGATCACGGGTCCTATGCAACGCGCCACTTCTCTTTATCTTCCTCCTCGGCTCTATCCGAACGGAATAAGGTAAATGTCCCAGTGATTGGACGATTGAGGAAAGAATTTCTGCTGTAAGTCGCTTACGAGATTGGTAAGACTTACGTTTATGCGTATGGATAGGTTTATCCGGAAAGGTAGATCGTCTATTTTTGAAAAATGCATGTCAATTATATTTCATAATTTCATGAAATTATTTGAAACCGAACGGAAGCACCGAACTCAAAGGCAAGTGTCCAAAAACTGCAGCCTCGATATCGCTGGAACAAGTATTCAGGCTTCGCCGTGACACAGGCACTCGAAAGAACAGTCCCCGCCCTGTTTCTTCGACGAACGATGAGTCCGTAACTGCGCGCGGTGACAACGGGGCCCATGTCGTCGTTCGCGCGCGGATGGGACCAGAGTGTATCTTTTCATGGGAACGTATGAAATTTTTTAACAGGTTCGCGAATGCGAATGCTATAGCACTCGTTTTCATTGTGACGCAAAGTGACACGAATGCTGTATAGATTCACTTTAACCTTTTAGGCACGACGCGCCACTATAGTGGCTTTCGCGGATGTAATTTCTCTGGACGACGCGCCACTATAGTGGCTTGCTCTAGTAGCTCACTCACTCATCGTTTGAACCAAATAATCGTCTTCGTATGCATTGTTTCACACTCCTTTTGTCTTCACATCGATTTACAACAGTCTATAGGGTGTCCCAAAAATGTCTCGCAATCCGGAAATGGCGGGTTCCTCGGATCATTTGAAGCAACTTCTTCCTTTACAAAAATGTTCTCCGAGGCACCGTTAACGAGTTATTAACGAAAAACAGTGACCAATAAGAATCGAGTACGGCTGACGCGAGGCGGCCCAGCCAACCAGCGCACGAAGCCCAGTTCCGCTCATTGGCTCGATCGCCTCGCGTCAGCCGAGCTCGCCTCTCATTGGTCAAATGGCCTGAGCAACCCGCCACTTTCGGATTGCGAGACATTTTTGGGGCACCCTGTATATACAGTATCAGACTCTGTACAGTACACATCAGACTCTGCCGTCCAGAGAAATAGCCTCGCGCAGAATTCAGCGGTACCTAAAAGGTTAATTATTAAATTAAAGCCATTAGGCTAACCGATTCGTTGAGTATCTTCATTTGATTTTGCCTTCTTCCTGTGTATATGACCGATCAAAATTTGGATATCATGATTAGGAACAAATCGCACATCCGTCTATTTTTCCAGCTTATTCAAATGTTTACTGTACGCAAACGTGTTACAAATTAGTCGGCACCAAAAACAGCGGCGGCGACGCTCTTCCAACGAATTCTAGGGCTAGCTTGCGCGATGGGAATTAGGTTATCGGAGCGTGCTTGTTGAAACTTGTGTCCTCTGGTCCGATGTAGGTCGCGGATTTCTACCGTTCGTTTCTACGTTTGTTTGGAGTTGCTTCTGATTCAGGAAGGTTCCCCTATTCGAACGTTGTTGATTCGATAAGGATGATCAACATAACTGTGCGTTGGACGGGGAGTGTTCCAATCGTATATTTTATGAACGGTGATAGTCCTTCTGGGAACAACGTTATACGAAGCGATATGTTTGTATATTTTATAAAAGGACTCATTCGCAAGCTTCGCAATTGACCTTCTCCACAGGTATGGTTAGCTCTGGCAGATAGAAAGGGTGAAATTACAGTAATGTCTCCCATATTGACGCTCAGATTGTCCACAAAAATGGACAATTTGGGAAGAGGAGATACGATTGTTCGATCGTATCTCGGGCGGTTTTTATAATTGTTTACAATTCGTAACTGTAAAAATAAACCGCGAGGCTCGAATAATCGTATCTCCTCTTCCCAAATTGTCTATTTTTCTGCACAATCTGAGCATCAATTAGAGAGACATTACCGTAGTTGGAAAAGATACGGAAAAACACAGCGAAGGAAGTAAAAGTTTCTTAAACTTGGCCGGTAATGTGCATCGCTGATCGATAATTTGGCGCTGAAAAAGTTGTGTAAATGTTGATATTTCTTATCGATCGACGATGCTGTAATATAAGCGATCAAAGTGATGTAATATAATGCGATGTGGAATATTATCTCGCAATGTAGCTGCGATAAGTAAATTGAGATGCAAGCGACTTCTATACATGTACACGTGTGTAACACGTAGTTTCGAATTTAAAGTACCCACTATCCCCAAAGAAATTTTGTATGGAAGATGGTAGGATACCATCGACGATTGTTTCGAGGCGATCGAAAGACAATGACGTTTCTCGAACCGTCGGAAGATTTATTTTAATCCTGCGGAAACGGCGGAAAAAGTTTCCACAAGGCGACGTACGTAGTTTTAATCGCAAATCGCGGAAGGTAAAATATTTACCGGCTTTGAAACCGACTTTGTCACTGCTATAGCGATTCGGAATGCTCGCCACTCGACGATAGCTGGCCATTTTAAATAATAGACGCAGCGGCGGCGATTAAAGGAGTGTAAACCTTTGAAAGGTTTAGTAGGTCGTTGCACGACTGCGTTGCAGATGTAGATTATTAATCACGTGGAAGAATAAAAGTGGAGGAGGCGCGTCGTTTCGCCGATCAAATGGCAGAATTAATCGAACGCTGTACTCGTCGTAACACCGGTTCCAGACGATACCGATAGTTTTCGCGGAATTTCGATTTCGTTTCAGTCGCGCACGATCGTGGACGCTGCGCAACCGATTACGTTTAAAGGCCGATTATGCGACCCACTCGGAGCTGAAAAGAAATTATGGCTGTCGTATGGAAAGAATGCAGCTAACGATGCGTTTTTCAGTTGACAGGATTTACCGATTGCGAAACAATTTTATAACGCTGAAATCCGCGGACGGACTAGAAAGTATAAGTGTCGGCGATTATGTAAAAGGTGGTTTGTCAGCGGACAGCTGAATTCTAATTGCGAGAAATTACAGGTCCGCAAATAGAGCATACTCGTGCAAGATTAATGATAATCCCGAGCGTGTTACAACCTCCGCGATTATATCGCAAATTGGGTATAGATTAATTTGGAATTGTCACGCGATTTATTCGACAAATTCGCGCGAGTTCGATTTCGAACGCAAGGAAACTCGTTTCGTCGAAGAAAATATGAACCAGCGAAGTATCGTAAATACAAAAAGGTATCGAATAAAATTTATTTTCATTTTCGGGCGCAACGCATTGAAAAGGAAAGTACACATTCGGTTGCTGTAAAAGTAACGTTTCTTTCCAACAACCAGATAGAAAGTTGATCAAAATCGACGCGACGGACCTTCACGTTAATTTATCGCAATGATAGAACACACACAAAAAAATGTTTCTACGTAGGAATATGTTACAGAACA